TAATGCTTCCATAAATGAACAATCATCCGAATATACATGATACAAAACATTATGAAGAACTGACTGCAGTTTTGGTAAAATTAAGTCTTTGAGGACACTACTGCTTACGTAACACTGACCCATAGACGTGGACGAGCCATTGCATCCTTTTAAGAACATCACCATCCTGTCAGTCGATTGAGATGATTCTCGCCAGACAGTAATGCGCGGCGTATTTTAGATTCTTCTATTGGTTGAAGGTTAGTATCCCCATTGAGGTCAGGAATTAGAATGCGTCCTGGACTAAATGGCATCCCCCTAACTGTGCATATGACTAATCATACCTCATGAACTGTAGACAAAAGTTAAATGGCGCAGATGAATATATCAGTCTCGGTTGAACAGTTCTGCTAAACTTTGTGGTGAGGTTTTGCATAACATCACGCGGAAAAAGGGGTCTCGTTCCAGAATTCACCTTTGATAATCAGGTTACTGGTCAGCTCACATCATAGTCTACCATAAGACATTCTTAACTAAGGGTTTCCACGGCCATCTGGGAGGCAACTTGTGTACTATTGGTTGTCGATAAACAAGAAACTGGATAATGTCTCTCTTTTTGACACTGTGAATCTGTTTCGTTCTGAACGCTACCTCGTCCAATGTAATCACAGTCATTTCAAAAATGTTTCGAAGAACAGCCGAACAATAGTATATTTATATATCCATGGACTACCAGGGTGACTGACTGTATGCAGTAAGACACTATTACATGCATCTTCCTGTCTTCATTCCTGACATCATTTCCTTCTTTCCTACTTATTTGTCATTATTGTTCCACCTGTGGTATCTAATGCCGTTGCAACCAGCAAGTTTAAACTGACATATCTGTTTGTGATGACGTCTTGATGATAAGGGACGGTTTTTTATCTTTGATATCCCGAAATGAGTCTAACTCTCTGCTCAGCTGAAGTAGTCCAAGTAATCTAACGACATAACTTGGTCGATAACTTGATTGATATAACTGGATTATGAGTGGGTTTGTAGGGGGTTGTGGGATTACAGCGAACGGCAGTTATCTCATTAGTCAGGCAGTGTTTGATTGATAGTAAGTCGTGAAGAATTCTAAGAATAATGTAAGTAGAAATGTCCTACCGTTTCATTGTACACCACTAGGCACTACCTGCAAAACAACTGTTTTAGTTCACCGTTACAAACGTCCATTCCAAAACAACAAGTGTTTATTCGATGTAGACTGCCTTAGTTTGGTGAATGTTTGTGCGTTAGATGGGCACTATAGGTAGTTTTCCGTCGTCGACCTGAAATCCATGGTGGGAAGTCAGTTAAGCTATTTGTAGGGTCGACCTCTTCCAACCCCTTCCTTTTAATACGGGGAGGTAGTATCGCTCTGAATTATGGCTGTGTTAGGGAAACATCTACCTGCCACCATACTCCGAAACACTCAGTAATATGATCATGTTGTCGAAACTCTGGAACTTGTACAAAATTCGTTTCGTGAGCAAAACAAAAAGAGCAACGTTACTTTTCCTCTTCAAATAAATCTTCTAGTGCTGATTGTATTCAGAGGTGAAAAGGTTTTTTCGCTTTTATTTAAGCCGGAGTTTTCTGTAACGGTTACACACAAATCTCACCTCTTTGTGTTCAGTATCTATAACCTTTAAAGCCTTAAAACACTTATTATAGAGGTCAGTTTTTCTGTTTGTTTATTTTTCTTGCGCTCTAAGAAATTATTTATTGTTCTCTCCGTGTGATCACTTAACAATATTAAAACAACGTCAAGGTAGACCCGCTTGCTATTTCCTGGCCGATGATGGAATACAAAGTAACAGCTGAAACAGGTGTTATCACAACGTATGCACCAGACTCACACCTGTTGAAAGTCACGATCACACTGGCTGCGCAAAATATGCCGCTCTACAAAGTTTCTGCCAACTTTTGAGGTGATTGAACGGCCAGAAGTAGATGATCGCTTTCAGTTTTTGAAGAAGCAGAGAGTGTTATAATGAGCCCAGCTTTATATTTGAATGAAACCATAAGGGTGGACAACAATAACGTAACGGATAACGAATGCATGGTTACAAGTAAAAGGAAAAATCACGCTAAGAAGAAACATAGTATAGGGGACTCCAAGTTATGTTGGTCAACGTTTTCAGCTATAGATACCTATATCGACGCAAAATAGATTATGGGGGAGCACAGCCTGAGTGGTTTAGATGATGTGATCAAGAGATATAACACGACCAATGATTGGTCCACAGTTGCACTCAGAAAAGTACAGAAACAGAATGAGACATTGTCGTCTGACGCCAAACCGGACTGCAGGCATGAGTAGATTGTAGGAAAAGAAACTTCAAAGACAAACCATGATGAAATGTCAGTCATTTCTCATAAATCAAAAGAGTCTTCCAATACGAAACCAAAGGCTAGATCTAAACACTATCTGGGCCACACTAAGTCCTTAATAAGCAAGTTATATCCAGGTGTTAACATCCACAAGTTTTGTAGAGTAGGAAAAATAACTGATTCTGAAAGTACTCAGAAATTCCACCTTATTGGGGAGACCCAGAAAAAGACTAGACGGTCCTGAAAACACTAGGAAACACTTAATTCAATCAGCATCGACTACAAGCTTCTCGGAAATATCTAGAAAGGGAGGTGTCATGTGTCATTTTTCTGAGTGCTTCGATGTTTAGAAATATTTCAGAGCTTTCCAGAAGCATAAGACAATCTGAAATGCTGCAAATACCCTCGTTTTCCTGTCCACAAGCTGAGCTTTGAGTAAAGCGTTCCTTCGCTCCTTTTCTCAAGTGTTCAAGTTGCCATGTATATATAGCCTAGGGGCTGCTAAAAGAACATAGAAAACTGAAACAAGACTTCAGTCAAAAATTTACTACATATCCTGAAATTTACCTTTTGCTTCTGGTGAAGAAAATTCGGGTATAATCACTTGACTCCGAATATATGTTTGTGAGGATCTCAAGACGATTGCCAGAAGTAGAAATAAATGAGCACCACCAGAACAGTGAATAAACCTTATACTTAAAAGTTTCCAAATTCTAGATATTCAGGGCAAAACGATCCCAAATCACTTTAGGCGGTATGAGAAAGTTCTTCATAGAAGTAAAGTATGCTATACAAATGCTCTCAGATTATTTAATAAAATGGAGGAACCCAAAACAGTGGTAGACACAGAAAACCCTGATGTTATTGCTATCTCAGAAGAATTATCCAAGTCAGAAGTACATGACAGTGCATGCCAATCGCCTGGTTTCTTACTTAGTATGGCTAACAGATTAAACCGTAGGGGTGGTAAGGTTATATTGCACGCGAAAGTTACATTAACCGCACGGTGCCACATTTCTGGCAGTTATACAATTATGTAATTGAACCGTTTACACTCTGGACTGTCCCAAAGAAGAAGAAACACGTCCACCCCTGGATAAGCCGAGATATTCGACGTTTACTAGGAATGTAGCTATCAGTATTGACACAGCAAGTACGACGAAACACTACAAGTCGGTACGAAATAAGTGTACAATTTCAATCAGGAAAGCTCAGCAATAATATGAAAAGCAGTTGGCCCAATCTGTAATAAAAAGCAACCTAAGAGACTATTCTCGTACATAAACCATAGAACAAGGACGCAGCATTCGATTTTTACAACCTAGTCACGAAAGGGAGTGGATCCTGGAAATCATACAGAGGGCAGGCGCGTGCAATTTCAGAGCTCCCAAGTTTATCATGCAAAAAGCAGTTTGTAAGGTTAAACTTCTCTACTCTGTTCTACCACAGATTAATAGGTGACCTGATTTTGATGTACAGAATACTAGGAAATGATTTTCGACTTGTTATATCGTCTCTTTTACTTCCCACTAGATCGGAACATCTCAGAGATAGTATCAGACGAGAAGAAAAGTCAAGAACGAACAAACTACCTGTGGCATACAAGTTTTCACACCAAGTCATCAATTCCTGGAAACTGTTACCCGAAACAGTGGTGTCCGCACCTTTAATTGACTCATTCGAGAGAAGACTAGACACTCAAAGAAGCTTACTAGAAAAGGACTGACATAGGCCGTAGGCCTTCTATCCTTACTACACAAATCCGATACCGAAGCCTGGAAAATGGTGACTTTAGTGTTACCGATCTATAAATAACCGGTCTGATATGGTAAGACCTAAAGGAAAGTTCTGTCCAGTCAACTTATTCAACTTACACCATGAAGGTTTGTAAACCTAACCACTAAGCTAGGGTAGCAGCTTTAGCCAAGTGTCCACAAGTCTCTTCAGAATGATGTCTATACAGACATGGTTCGGTTGAAAGAATCTCCTAGATAAAGCAAGCTACTGAACGCCTGCTTGAGGCAAAGTGGGGAGTTGGAATGTATAAAGATTTCCGTCAATGCGTATTCGGTAATAAGGAGCGAGTGAAATATAAAAGTGTCGGAAGAAAACCTGCCCAATAAAAACCTTGCCTCCAAACCATGGGCGAACGAAAAGTAACTACGTTAGTTATGGCTCAGAGAACACTAAAAGGGGATATTCAGTTGTTTTTGGACTTCAAGATGTGATATTTATGAAACACGAAGTCGTTGAAGATCTGTGGTTCTCCATTACAATGGTTTTTATAAAATAACTCGGTAAGTCGTCTCGTAAGCTATTGAGACGGAGGATCGCAATGTACTATGATAAGGTATGTGAATACTCAGTTTAAAGAATAGGTCGGTAGCTGCCGTCTACCACTTCCCTTATTTTTGTGACTTTCTAAAACCTAAAGTAACTTGAAATACATCAGTGAAACTCGATTTAGAAGTTCTAGTACAACAGTTAGGTTTCATTGAATAATACGATACACTTGCGAAAGACTCAATTCGTATTCTCCAAGGTTATCCTTGTAGCGTCTAGTGTCAGTTCAGAGATAGTATAGTTTGGGATTTATTTTCTGGTCATATTGAAATATCATCATGTAAAGAGAGAGATATTCAATATTGTTTTTGTTAGCCATGCTTTGCTCCCTTAAAGAAGACTTGAAATCCCTAGAAATTATACTAGCTAGCACTTCAACACGTCGAAAAGAAATACTCAGAAACATTGTAATTCATTTATCTGACTAATTAATCATTATATTTAGGGTCTAAAGTTCTCCTCTGTTTGTCCTGATGTTGAAGAGTCACTGCCTTCAGAAAACTTTCAATCAATACCAGCTCATATCGAAGCCATAGCTAAACTTAAAGCGGATGCAGTGGTGAACACTTTGGATATCAGTAAAGTTTGTTCACTTTTTTATGTTCGTATTAATGAAAGCGTAACTATGTAGTCATAGGAGCAGATACTGTGGTATGTTTTGAAGGTTGTATTTTTGGAAAACCATCAAGTCACGTGGATGCTGTGAATACACTTAGTCGGTTTGTGACACACTTAATCTATAACATTTGTAGTTTGAGTGGGAATGTTCACCAAGTGATAACCGGTGTATGTTTAAAGTGGATTGTATCTGGGAAAGAACAGAAAATTGATCAATTTCATGAAGTAACAAATGTAAAGATGATTGAATTAAGTCCTCTCATCATTGAGGGATATGTTCAGTCTGGAGAGCCAATGTATGTCTCCAGGCGGAGTAATTATGATTTTACTAGCATCATTCTCATTTCAGAGCAACATAGATTAGTGGTAACTGTTACCTATTTTCTCTAACGGTTTGAGATAAGTTACTTAACTGCTAAATAGGTATTATTTGTTTCATATCAGTAGACAGTAGGATACATAATTGTCACAAATAGGTAGCATGACTAGGTTCATGTCTTATTGTGCTAGCCTGTGTTATATAACTTAATCCCAATCAACTATTTGGAAACTAACAATTTATTGTAAAATTGATCAGTGGAAGTAAAAGGAGCACACTGCAAGCACTTGACCATGTAGGTATTTTCTAATTGTAGTTTGAATCTAGCGAAATTACTAATCAATAATATGCTAGGTGAGAGGTGGAAATCGACTGATAAGGCTATAAAATGTCACCATTGTATGTATTTGAAACACGTTTTACTCATCTCTAGTCACCTCTTACTCTGGCATACATCACTAACCAGTATAAAAGTAGGTTAAGAGAAAGCCACCGTTAGGTCGCTCACAACCTACCACTATCACATAAAGTCATTAACTTTTGGTCTGTGTCATGTTAGAAGATAGAGATTTCCTGACCAACACTGACAAAACAGTAGGGAGTATACTCACTACATCTATAGCTGAAGCTGGTAGCTGTTCCTGGATGATGTCTCAGTTGGATTCATTCTCAATCCTCCCTTAAGTTTTGCTTCAAATCAGCTGCCGAAAACTTTAATAGATCTACTTATTTGTCTTAATCCTTCAGATAATTACTTAAGTTTTTTCATTGCATTAATTATTACAATCCTCATCATCCTATTTCAGGGATAAAGCTGGAGCTTATGGTATTCAGGGGTTAGGTTCAAGTTTAATTGAGCGAATCGATGGAGATTATTTCAGTGTTGTTGGTTTACCAGTCTGTCGACTTTGCAAGTACTTAAAAGCTGGATGTGAAGAAATAGTGTCTAAATTGTTAGACACAGAATTTTTATCCAGTCGAGTAGATGTTCCCGAGAAATAACTTTAATGTTAGTGAATATTCTGTCACTTTAAACTGATGAAATGCTGTCCTAATTTGCTGAAAAATTAAATATTCATATTTTTGTTCACTTGTGTGATCATTATACAAGTGAAGACTGTACTTCTTCCACTGTCACCTTGGGTTTTTTAGCTAGGTATTTCGCAAATAATGTTCTGCACTTTCAGTGTGTGTGTGTGTACGTTAAAATCCATATCGTCAGTAAAATATGGTGTAAAGTATATGAAGAACCATGAATTTCATCTAAATGCAACTCACTAATCAAGTACACCGTCCATGTACTCATCTTTGAATGCGTAAGACTTCGAGATGCAATTGCTTAAACCGATATTTATGTACCGACTTTTTAAAATTTGATCCCTTTTTTTCATACTCGGTCAGTAGTATTAGATAAAAAAACTTGCACAAGTGTGCTTAGGTTCAAGTTACTACATTTCATATGAGAGCAGAGAGGGGAAAGCAGTTGTAAAAACTAAATATAGAGAAAAGCTTAAAAGAACAAATGAGATGTAGAAATATGAGGTATAAAATAATGTAGAAACTTGTTATGCAGAATAATATAATGAAATGGACCTGAGACACAACAAATGATTTCAGCTCGTACTTTCTAATATTTTCAGCCAGTGATCATAATTTTGGTGCAAAGCCCAATCAGGAAGTTTACGCTCACACTGTTCATAACAAGTCAGTCACCCTATGGGTTGATTCTAAGTTTGATATGGCTACCTCATATGCTGACCACTACTTTATGTGAAGCCATTCCCAGTATATGTTCAGACAATGAAGAGATAGGCTTTTACATTACGGTTCTAGATCCAACCGTTCCAAGTCACTAGTCGACGTCTAGTTTATTAAATACCACTGAATATTAAGCATGTTTGTGACTTCACAAGCAAATACCGAGACTTATTTGTGTTATTGCTGTACAAACATATTTGTTTTACTAACTGCAAATACGTGTTTCTTATTGAATCTGTAAGTAAGCCTGTAAGCTGGGTTTCGTCCTAGTTAATGTTTCATAGTTGGAAGTGTCTCCAGGATCTAGAGAAGTAATGTCTTTATGAATATTAATCTGCATCACTTCAAATCAAAGTCTTGTTTATTACCACCGAACTCTTTAATAACCTGGTAAGATTGTTAGTCAGTGATACGTGGGAGTCGTTGCTTAGTTATTTTTCTTACTAAACCATAGGTTGTCATCATACCCAAGAGGATTATTCTCTAAGTTAAACCATGATTACAGCTTAGATTTTATAAAGCCGGATTCCAATTTTTATCATAATGAATGATTGTCGAATGTCGAAAAATTGAAACACATCGATGATATCCTCCTTTTCGATTCAGTGTTGAGCTAATTGACTGTTTAAAGCTATAGTACCTTTTGGTTTCCTGCTTTTTTGGAAATTTGTAAATACAAACCTAGTGCATGTGCTTTGGAAAATACATGTAAATTTACAAATGTAGTCGAAGGTACTTACGAAAACTACTTATTGAATTTTGGTCTGCTTTGGTAAGTAGTTCGTTTAAGATGATGAGCCTTGCCTCTGTGAAAGCAGTCTATCGTTTTCTCTGAGATTAATGAATCCAATAGTTACATCCACTTTAAGGTTATGGTCTGGGAACTAAGGCTTTTTAACTGCATCGTACTTGTGTTTGTTCTGAATTTTCCCGTACTTATAAAGAATAAAAAATAGGTTGTGCAAGAAAGTGAAAAAATATACTAATGGTTATACAGGTTCAGTTTTACGTTTATAAGTTCAAGAATAAAATAATTGATCTTCTTGCATTTAAACTTAGCAAGCGTTATGTTTTTATATTAAACCATCACCCTCACAATGGTATTAAGCATCTGTAGTGTGGCATTAATTATTAAGTAAAATGATCCGCCAAATTTTAACGAGAAAAGTGTATTGAGTTGTCAGTAAGATTCTATTAAAAGCAGTAAGCATAATTTTGTCAATAAGATGAACCGTGAATTAGTACGAAAATCTTGTGTTCGAGAAACTAATTTGATCTTTGTTCGCTACTTTTTATCTCAAACGTCTAATCTGAATTAATTTCGTATTCTGTTAATTTCAGTTCGACTGTTGTTTTTCTATAATTACAGTCATATTGTGATATTTCACTTGACGAAAAACTTACACATATGTATATATATGTATATTAGCACTAGACATTCTACTAATCTATTGCAGAATATCTTGTGAGTTTAAGTTTCAGATAGGGTTCACTTGTAAGAACAACTAATGATTAAATTGGAACTTATATAAAAAGTCCCCTTAATAAAATATGACTCAAATTACATTACAAAACTGTCTAGTGTCGTGAAACGGTAATGTTTTTTTTGTTTAATACTGTACTACTTCAGTTAGTCAGCTACAATGTAGGACCATGCACATATATGCGTCGGTCCAAGTTGCCATACCACATTAGCACAGCAAGATGAACACTGGATTTATAGACATAGTTACTTCAATCGGTGTAATATATAAAAGAAAGATTGTATATAAGGATATAGTATACGGAGAAAGAATCAGTTCATAGAAAGAAAAATATGAAGCGATTTTAATCTCTTAGTTTAAGGGAAGACAGAGAGTGTATACACCTACGCCATTGTGCTCGATTCTGAGCCATCTCACCAAGTCTCCAACCATTGGTTACGATAGTCACGCGGACCCCAACCAAGTAGTCTGCATCTGCCAACATGGCTCAGACTAGAAGTTAGTGACTTTGTGGACTGATGCCACGTTTTGGTTTGGCTGCCCCTAATTCTCTTCCAACCATCTCTAACACCCGTTAGCATTGCACGACGTGGTAATCGGTGTTCAGGCATACGTAACAAGTAGCCCAACCATCTCAGTCGATGAAGATTCACAACCTCATCGACTGATTTACCATCATTTCCTAATACCCTGTGTCGAACCTCACTATTACTTATCCGGTGATCCCAGCAGACGCCAGCAATATTTCTAAGGCATCTGTGGTCAAATACTAGTAGCTTACGGGTGTCTTCTACTCTTAAAGGTTATGTTTCGCTGCCGTAAAGTAAGACAGAACGAACTGTCGCGCAGTATACTCGTCCTTTTATTGATAGACGGATATCTCGCCTTCGCCATAGGTGACGTAAGTTGGCAAAAGCCAAGCGACCTTTTTGAATCCGTGCTGAGATTTCGTCAGACACCAACCCATTAGGGCTGATCAGACTTCCAAGATAAGTGAAGTTGTCGACGCGTTCGACTACTTCACTCCCTATCCTTAGTTCAGGTGTTGACCCAGACCAGTCCTGAAGCAACAACTTGCATTTAGAGGGAGAGAAGCGCATTCCAAACATTCCGGAATTGTTGCTCAGTGCTACCAAAAGACTATGCATTTTATCAGCGTCTTCACCAAACAGGACTATGTCATCTGCGTATTCTAAGTCGACAAGTGGACCTCCTGGAAGGAGATCAATACGCGAGAATTCAGTAGATGAGAATGTTATTTCCATCAATAGGTCTCTGATGAAGTTAAACAAAAATAGAGAAAGTGGACAGCCTTGACGGACACCACTTGAGGTTGCAAAACAGATGACAGTTCGCCATAAACTCTGACTCGACTAGTAGTGTTCGAGTAAAGAGCCTTCACAAGGTTTATGTACTTCCGAGGTACGCCTTTCAATGACAGACACTGTCACAGAATCTCGCAGTCAAATGCTGCCTTTAAGTCAAGAAAGATCACCATTGTCGGACGCCGATAAGTATGCCTATGTTCTAGAACCTGACGAATGGTGAATATGTGGTCGATGCAGCCACGACCAGGTTTGAAGCCAGCTTGATTCTCTCGTGTTTGCAGTTCACGAGTCTTAGGCGTCTTATAATTATCGAGGCTAGTATTTTAGATACTATATTAGTTATACAAATCCCTCTATGGTTGTCACAGGATGATTTTGACCCTTTCTTATATATTGGGACGATAAGTGATTGTGACCAGTCAGATGGGATAACGTTCAACTCCCAGATTTTATCTAAGATATTAGTCAACCTAATCGCTAAAATTGGACCACCATCCTTAAAGACCTCTGGAGCCAATCTAACTGGATCATCTGCTCTTCCTCGTTTCAGATTAACTATAGCCTTTTGAACTTCTGCTAGAGTTGGGTGACCTACTTCAATGTTCCATTCACATTGTCTGGGAATGGAGGGTAGTTGTAGAGTAACGGAAGGCCAGCTGAACTGTTCTCTAAAACGTTCCGCCCATCGTTCTAAACGTCTGGACTGAGAGCAGATGAGGGTGTCGTCTTTTTCCGAAATAGTTTGACTTACACTTGATTTATTAATTCCAGTTTCTTTTATTAGTCTGTAGAGCTGTCTTGTGTTCCCTATAGCCACTACCTTTTCCATCTCTTTTGCTTTCGTTGCCCACCACTGCTCACGGTCGTTTCTTAGACTTTTGCTTAACCTAGATCTGATTTGTTTGCACTCTTCATCATGTTCAGAACCTGATGGGATGAGTTTACGAGAATCCATTAGTGCAATAGATCTTGAAGAAATTCATTGGTTCTTTGTAAATCTGTGATTTAAATCACTAATAGGTGTCACTGCTGTTTCCACAGCTATTTGTATAGCTTTCCAAGCAACATCTGGGTCTGCCTCGTTTTCAGAACTACCTAAGTATAACCTCAGTTGTTCCTTGAACCTACTTTTGGTTTTCTCGTTGCTCAGTTCAGTTCTGATGGATCTTTTTAATGTGGCTTTTTTGAGTCCAGTCAGGTGCAAGCAGATGCGTGCTCGTATTAGGGCATGATCGGAGTCCAAGCAGGTACTCCATAATGAGTGACAGTCTTTTATCGAACTTCTCTAACGATGACTGATTACAATATGGTGTATTTGAGTCCATCGTTGGTTTGGTGCAGGGGGTCACCATGTTAGACGATGTCTCTCCTTATGCTTAAAACTAGTGCTTGCTATAAATAAACGATTGTCTGAGCACAGTTGCTGGTGACG